TGATCCTGAACAGGTCTCACTTTGCTTGTTTCTCTCTCCAGAAATGTTGTGTGGATCAGGTCAGACACAGAGCTGTCTGCAAACCTTCAAGTGCTACTCAAACAGGCACCGTAATGGCTAAGGGAGTGTGAGGAAGGGACAGGGTGGACAGGGGAGGAGTGTGCCAATAAAAGCCAGGGACGCTTACTAAAAATGAAGGGCTAGCAGCGTACCCCAATAATCCCACCGATACTCGAGGACTGCCACAAGTTCAAGGCCAGCCTGAACTACACAGTGAGAGTCTGTCTCAAAACAAATAATAACCAACCAACCAAACCAGGAAATTACGAAGTGTTGTGATTCCGTATTGAGGAATACTACGCAGTAGTAAAAATTAAATCAGAGCTATATGTATAAACACGGATCAATTTCTCCAATATAACATTAAGTAAAACAAGCAATTGAGGAAGAATAAAGTAGGATAACATTTGAACAACACTTCTAATATAAAACAATATTGTTAATTGTTGGCTGGGGGCTTAGCTCAGTGGCAAAGTGCCTGCCTGGCAAGCATGAGGTTGTGAGTTCAATTCCTGGTACCAAAAAAAGAAAAAAACAAAAAATATATATATAACTTATTATTTATAGATATACACATCTATAATGAAACCATAAAGAAATATATAAGGATGACACAGACTAAATTCAGAACACTTTCTTTGAGAGGGTTGAAGGAATGATCAAGAGGAATTTCAAACTCAGAATCTCCTGAAATGCACATGGGCATCCGAAAGACTGCTTCCTCAGCATCAGTGTCACCAGCTCCCAGGGCCCGGGACCCATGTGTGGAGGCAGAGGTGCAGAAGAGGCGGCCCAGGCTCCTCTGACAGCTGGCTGCCGAGGCTGGCCGGTGCAGGTCAGGGCAGAAAGCCTGCAGGCCGAAGGGCGGGCCAAGCAGTGCACAGAGACTGCAGGCTGGAGCAAGCTCCTGACTCGGACACCCAGGCCCACCCTGGAAATACCAGCTCTGGCCTCCGTGACAACAGGATTCCACTGCATACAGCCCACCAGCTCCAGCTGGCACTGGGTGCTGTGGGATGCAGGGTCCCGCAGCTCGGTACTGCTTGCTATGGCCAGTCATCTGTTCCGTCCAGAAGGGTGACTGTCCCAGGAAGGTCACGGGAATAATGCCAAGCTCTTCCTGCAGGGGCCACAGTGGTTGCTGGCCTCTCTCATTGTGCCCTGCAGAGCAGGGGAGCTGGCTCCTGTCTCCTGTGCCTTCCTCTGTAGCTCTCCCAAGAGCAGGAGACCCTGCCTGGGCAGATAGACAGAAAGGGAGGCAAGGAGGCTGAGAGGAGGCACAGAAAACCCCAGTCCAGGGTTAGAAAGCCACGACCTGCTGAGGCCAACGAAGGTGGGGGCAGCCCAATCCTGGGTTGGTGCCAGTCCAAAAGCTGGGGGAGATGCCAGCCCACCCCAGCTTTCATTTGGCAGCTGGGAAACCAAAGGCAGCAGAGGGAAAAACCTGGCCCAGCTGTCACGGCTGGCAGCAGCACAGAAGAACTGACCGGTCTTCCGGTGTTCCCACCTGCTCTCACCATGTTCCCTCGCCCCTGGTGGTCAGGTGGGCAATGAGGGAAGCACAGGAAACGGCGAAAGGCCACCTGGGCTGAGGTGGACTCGCAAGCACTAAATGTCAGCACTGAAGGGCTTGGGGACAACACATCTGCCCAGCACCTCGAGGGCCCGGCAGAGAGCTCGAGATGCATGGGAAATGGCTGCCTGCCTGGAGGATGTGGCCTTGGGCAGCAAAGCAAGTGGAAGGTGCCCACCACTAAGTGGTCCTAAGGAATTCAGACCACTCACCCTGTCCCGGGTCCCTCCCACCAGGAACAGGGGGACAGACATTTGAGACAGCAAAAGAGGACACAGCAGCAGAGTCCGCAGAGGTCTGAGGCCAAGGCACCTGGGGCACTGAGAATCAGATCCCCTCACTGCCTCCTACTGAGGCCCTTCCGGCAGCCTCTCACAAGCAACAGCAGCTGTCACCCATGGGGCCCTCACCATCTGTTCCACCAGGGTGGGCACTGGGCTCTAGCTATGTTCCCATTTCTCCAGGAGGGAGCACTGCAATGAGCTGGCAGGGAGACAGCAGAGGCCAGAGGCAGAGGCAGTGCCCACCCAGCAGTGCGCCCTACCTGCAGCATTTGCCTCCAGGATCCAGCACTCTGGTCTGCAGTGGTCAGTGGCTGGGGTGACCAGATGGGAACAGTCTCCCTCCCCAGTGACCCTCGAACAGCTCCAGAGTGTGACCTGACTGCTCTTACCACTTCCCAATGTTGCTAGTAGGGAAAAACCACCACCTCCACGCTTGGCCCTTCTGGGGTCTTTCTTGGTCCAGTTGGTCAGCTTCCTAGTCCAGCAGTCTTGCCCTAAACCCCTGCCCTAAACAAGGCCCTGGCCACTGTTCCTCATCACTTTATAGTCACTGCCCTTCAGGAGCCCTGGACCCCACAAGGTCCCTGAATGATGTCACACTCCATCATACTCAATGAATGCCAGTCACAATCATGCAGCACTAGCTGGCTTCCAGTCATGCGCGTAGCACACAGCTCCCATCGGACTGCTCAGTCCTAGAGAGCGGGCCTTACACACCTGGGCGTCCTGCACACACTGCATAGCACCAGCACTGAGGGCTGCCTGGAAACATCTGCTAGCCACGGCATCAGGACAGTTCGCAAACTCCTGGGGAGAGCTGGCTCTGAGTTCTCCTGCCTTCCCACAGCTAGGCCTCAGTTTCCCAATTATTCTAGTTTCTTCCCTTCTCCTCCTCTGCTGGGCAAACCCAGCAGAACCTCACTCCAAATACTTGATCCTGTGTCAGGGAAACAGACAAGAAGGGTAAAGGGGTCCCTGCCCTTACCCTTATACTCCAGGGAAAGAGAAAGACAGTAATACCGAGCTGACCAAGTTCTGTATTCTCACAAATTTACTTCACAGCATGATGAACATATGAACAAATAAAACAGTAACGTGACAAAAAATGAAAAAGGGGGCCACTTTGCATAGGAAGGTCAGGGGAGGCCCCTCTGAGGAGGTAACAGCTGAGCTGAGACTTGACAGATAAGGAAAACCCAGCCACGGGAGGAGAAAGTTGGGTGGGAACACACTGGACATACTCACAGGCCAAGTCAGGCTGAGACACCCCAGCTAAATCACAGCAAGGGCACAGCCTGATAGTCACTAGGGCAACAGGCTTCCGAACAACCTCCCACAACTCAGTGGCACTCAACTGGGTGGGCCTGACCCCGCCAAGACATCCGGGCCCAGGCGTCGCTGGGGAAGGGAATGAGTCAGACCCCACGGCTTCCTGGGGCCTCAGAGAACCCAGTGTGGGCATCGAGGGGGCAGGCACCAAGCCTCAGCCACCCTACACCCAAACCTACAGAACACCCGTGGGTGGGGGACAGCGCAGTCACTAAATATGTAGAACACAGGACACGCCCACCTTAGCTTCCAGTAGGGAAAGACAGGATTGCCCAGGGACCTTCCATCCCCAATTTGTGAAGACCTGGTCAGGGAAAGGCACAGGACCCAAGGTCCCAAGCCTACTAGTCTTGGGCAAGTCTTCACCTTTCTGGGCCTTAGTTTCTTCATCCAAAAATTGAGGCTATAGAGGGATGACTTAAAAGACACTAAATACACAGCACTGCCTGGTACCTGGTCCAAATGTAAGCTAGTGATAGTATCATGGTCTTTTTTCCCCCCTGCTTCCATTTGCTCTGTTGCAAAATGGATAGTAAAACAGTATCACAGGGTTGCTGGAAGTTTGAAATAATAAACACCCCACCCTTCTAATACAACATCCACTGTCAGGAATCGAAAAAAAAAACCATACATATATATACACATTATACATATATATTCCATATATATATATATTTTTTTTTTTTTTCTTGAGTCTCTTTCTCTGACCTGTCGATCACATGCTGAATTCCCCTCTACCACACCCCCATTGTTTGGAAAATGAGTAAGAGCTGATTAAACCCCGTTTTGACGTTACAGTGAAATCAAAATGATGCATTAGGAATCTACACATTTCACTGCACTGTCATTCTGCAAGGGGGTGGGGATGGACGCTGCCCATTCTTCTGCATCATCAACAAAAGTCTCTCCCTCCCCTTATCAGTTTCTCACCCAGCTGCACCAAAATTCCCAAGCACTCCCGCACACACTATTCCTGTAGAATGCAATGATCTCCAAGCGTGTTCTCACAGGCTGCACACCAACATCTTCCTTGCAAAACTCACCCCTATGAGAAAGAACTCAGCCGGGGACTTAGCTCAGTGGCATAAACGCCTGCCTTGCAAGCGCACAGTCTTGAGTTCGATCCCCGGTACAAAAAAAAAACAAAACAAAAAAAAAAAACAAAAAAAAAAGAACTCAGACCCCCCCAAATCACTTCCGGAAAGGTACCCTGTACCTTCAACCAAGGTTCCCAGCAGTGTGCAAAATACGCTCATCACAAACAGCACATCGCAGCCTCTGGAGCTGCGCAGTTGTGTTCAAACCCTGACTGCAGTTCACCAGCTGTGTGACCCGAACCTCCAAGACCCTTCGTTGCCTAAAGGGTAAGACGGTGACGAGAACGTTCGCATTTAGTACGGCTGCAACCACTACCGGAGCTTAACCTAGAACCGCACTCGGGACCGCCCAGGAGTTCCTATTATTTTCCTCAGAGCGCTGCTTGCACAACTTTTACGAAACTACTGACGCCGCGCAGGCCACTGTCGCCGTGAGGCAAACATCTCCGAGGCCGCTGCCCCCGGCCCCGGCCTCGGCCCCAAGCCGACCGTCGGGCGCCCCTCGCAGTGCGCACGCGCGCCCCGGGCCGCCACGCCCCACGCAGCCCACCGCGGCCGCCCGAAGACTCCCGGGCCTCGGCCCGCCGGTCTCCCCGCCGCGGCCCTCCCCGACCTCCCTGGTTCCCCCACAGCGGGCCGCCCGGCTGGCTTACTTACGAAGCAGGGTCCAGGGAGGAGGGACGGGACAGCGTCCCGGCCGCGGTTTCCCCACAGCTCTCCGCGGCGCTGAAGAAGGGGACACGGCGCAGGACGAGGAAGTGCTGGTGCCAGGCAGCCCCGCCTCCGGGAAAGTCCCCGCGGAGTGACAGGCAGCTCACCCAATCGCGGCGCGCGCTCTGGACGCCGCCGCGGGGGGCGGGACCGAGGAGGTAAACAGCGGCTACGGGGAGTCGCGGGCAGAGACTGGCTGTTGCGGAAGGGTCCAGGCAGCAGGTTTGCATCCACCGCCAGAAGACCGTGAAGACGCCGGCGGCCTGTCCTCCGCACTTACCATGTGTCGTTGTATTCGTGCGATCGCCCCGTTGCAAAATGCAGCTTGAAAAGTTAGATATATGTATTTTTTATCCTTGAAAGACAAGGGGCTACTACGCCCGTCCTCTGGCCCAGGGCATGCACAGCTCCCCCCCCCCCCCCCCGCGCCTCTCCTCTGCCCAGGGGCTGGACCAGAGCGTGGAGATGCTGAGGCCTGGAGATCAAGCTCAGTTGCATTCCCCCGGGCCAGGAAGAGAGAGGCTAGGCCCAGGAAGGGACGCGCAAGCCTAGGCGCTCTGCCTCTGCCTTTCTATCGTGTACCCTCCGTGCTTGCTGTAGGAGATCAAGCGCACTAGTGCAGGGAGAGTGCGATTTCATCTCTTCCTGACCCGGACCGGGAGGCCTGAACCCAGTAACAACAAACCCTGTGAATTTTGATGACCTCACTAGCGGGCTGAACCAAGATCCAAAACCAGGTGGGCAAATCCAGAAGCCGCCCTCTATCTTGTCTACCTCTGTGACACAAAAACCCAAGAGGCTGGAGAAGTTCCTGGACCAGTAAATAGCAGTATAATAACTTGCTTTAAGATAGGAACCCTTGGTTTTTGTTTTACAATCCATTATATTATTTAAAAGAAACACTTTAATTCCAAAAGGAAGACCTGACTTTGGAATACAGGCCAACTCGTTAGACTGGTTAATGATAGCTTTTTGAAAAGACCTAGGGGAAGAGACCCATTTCACTGGGCTTGAAAACTTGGTCATTAAGAGGCACTGGTCTTCGGAAAGGCTTGGGGGACTGTTTTATGCGTGCCCTCCTTAGAAGAGAGAGGGTGCCTGAGCTGGAGATTTTCCTGAAGGGTTTTGGACAACACCAGGAGCTCTGTTACTTCAAAGGTGTTACAGAGTTTTCAAAAACAGTGTTCTTTTCAGTTATGAAAAGAAGTAGGCATACACTTTCATCTGGAAGGGAAGAAGGGAGGGGGTGATGAACATCAAGCAAAACACCAGTGGGCCTGGGATGCCACCATCCGCACAGCTGCAGCGGGGAGTCATTTCTATGCATTTTGGCTCTAAATCTCTGTTTTCTTCTTGCCCGTCCCCTGTGTGTCTCGATTTACCTCTTTCTGGAATATTCTCTTCCTAACCCCAATTCAACTCTTCATACCTACCCACTGTAAATAGTTGCAATTTACAGTCGTCGGGCAGGGGGTGTAGCTCGGGGGTAGAGCTCTTGCCAAGCTGGTATTCCATCACCAGTACTGGGGGAAAAAATGTCTCCGACATTTTGTCTTTGGGTTCTACACTATGCCGGGTTGTTTTTGTGAAATGCCTGACTTTGGGCACTTTCATCCCTTAAAGAGCCAGACAACTCCTGTGTGACCTCACTAAAGAAGCTTAAGCTTGATGTACAACCGTGATTTGTTTATAGTTTTGTTTTTGTTTGCAGGTAGTAGGGATTGAACCCAGGGCCTTCTCACTGAGCTACATCTGCAGCCCTTTATCGTCTTTTTTCTTCTGAGATGGGATCATTAAGTCCCTTAGTTATCCAGGTTGGACTTGAACTCACAATCCTCCTACCTCGGCTTTGCAGAGTGCTAAGGTTATAGACATGCACACCAAGCCCAGCTTGAGGTGCTTTTGCTTCACAGTCACAATGAGGAAACTTATCTTCCCAAAGTCATAATTGTCCCCACTCTTTTCCCCTTTTAAGTCCTGGTAGTGGGAGCCATTGGTCCCATTCCCATACTTGACGGATAGGTGAACCAAAGCTTCTGTGTGGAGAAGGGTTGCTCCAGGCCAAGCGCATGGATTGATGGCTCCCAGCTCTGGGTCCTTTGCCCACAGCGCCTGTTGTCTTCACAGGTTCTTGATTTTTCTCACATTTTTACAGAGATCTGCTCTAGAACCAGGCACAGGGGTGCACACCTATAATCCCAGCACTCAGAAAGCTGAGGTAGGAGGATAGCCTTGAGTTTGAGCCCAGTGTGGGCTTCATAGAGAGGCTTTATCTCAAAACAAAAACTAGAAACTTTGCTCTGCTGTATCTTGAACACAGGCTGTTGATCAAAAGGGATGGCAGCTCCTGCTCAACCGGTTACTACCCGGTGGCCTCTGCGCCTCAGGTCCTTTCTAGAAAAGGGGCAAAATGTTCCTGCCCCTCAGGGAAGCCTAGGAGGGATGAGCTCATACAGACAGGCTGAGGCCCAGCACACAGGAGGGGTTGGAGAAAGGAGAGTGGTGCAGAGGCATGGATTACCTGTGTCAAGTAGAATCCCATTGTCAAACCCAGGAACCAACACAGCAGCTCCCTCACACTTGTATCTTTTCAGGATAGGGAGGGGATGGGGCTGGGCTCCCTGGTCTGGCAGCCCCTGCCACCCCTGTCCTGGAAGGGGATTTCCGAGTCAGGAGGCTGCCTGCTCTTGGCAGCTGAGTGATTCAGGCAGATGGCAGCCTCTTGCTCTTCCAGGGTGACAGGCGCCATGCAGAGCCCCACCCAGAGCCAGTGGTTTGTTTTACTTTGCTTTATTGTAAAGCTTGCAACCTCCCAATCTTCTGCTACTCCCTTCTCCTCCACCATCTCTGCTAGGGTGGCTCCAAAATACACATATGAAGGAAATAAAAAAATACATCCCCAAATCCACCTATAACTGACATAGCTCTGACCAAGCGCTAGAAGAGAGGTAGCAGCCACATTTTAAAGTATTAAAAGGTAGGGCTGGGGATTTAGCTCAGCGGCATAAGTGCCTGTCTTGCAAGTAGGCAGTCATGAGTTCAATCCCTGGTACCGATAAAAGTATTAAAAGGTAGCACAGAGTTTCTGCTGTATATCAGGCCAGTACTTTTACACAGGCTACTTCTCAGCCAGCTGGGGAGGTGAGCACCCTGGAGCCGGGTTCTTAAACACATCCAACGCTAAGCATTATGCTGCAATGCTTGGCAGCTAGCAAGACCCACAACACAGAATGCCCCTCCAAAGGGTCTCTGTGAATGACAGCCCTTGGCACACGCCTGTAACCCCAGCACTCAGGAGGCGGAGGCCAGGAGGAGTGTGACTTGGAGGCTGTTCTAAGCCACCTACAATATTTAGTCTTTACAAAAAGAGAAAGGGGGGAATGAAAGCAAAAGAATCTTACTCAAAATAAAGGACAAATTTTGCAACAGAGATATCCACAATAGAAAAAGGAAAGGAAAAGAAACCATCAAACCCAGCCTTATCTTCACAGGAGTGGAGCCACACCGAGGGCCAGCAAGGAACAGAATGCGTAGTTCTTCCAGAGTTTGGGACTAGTCTTCAGGATCAAAATCTGCTCTTCCTGGTGGTGTGCAGTTGCCAAGCAACTGCTGATGGCAAAGGAGGCTTTTTTGGGGAGGGCGGGCAGTGGTTTAACCAAGAATCAAACTCACGACCTCACACTTGTGCTGCTGAGCTGAATCCCCAGCCCCAGAAAGGGAGGCTTCTAAGCCAATTGGGCCTGCGCATCCTTTCATGAGGAGAGGGCAGGAGGCTGATCCAAGGCCTTGTCGGGTGAGGGAACTGTGTGTGTGTGTGGGGGGGGAGCTAATGAACCTGGAAGACAATGGCCCAGGTTTGTCCTGGATCCACCGCCCAGTGCAGTCGCAGGAGTGTAAAACCCTGCAGTAGGTTCTAGGTACTTTTTTGGTGTTGGGTGTGTGTACATCAAAGAGAGATGTGGGTGTGTGTTAAATGAGATAAAGCAATCACCCACGTGATACTGACTGAAATGGTGCCGGGTAATCATGACTTTTTTAATGTGAGAAATAAATATATCACCAACGTCTGTGATCCCAGCTTTCCCCCCTTAGCCTAAGAAAACATTGAAATTCTGTCTACCGACCTCCACAGGAGGACAGCCAGATATCTGTAGCTCCTTGTTCATCTGGCATCAGAAGGCAAAAGCAACCACATATACACATATTTCCCTTTCCCAAGAGACAAGCCATGGGTATTACAGCTGGAGCTGCGGAGTCTGACAGAGCTGTGTTTCAGTCCCAGGCCTGCCACTCACAGGTCTGTGCCTCAGTTTCCTTATCAGTGCTACCTTCACCAGACAGCCAGGATAAATGCCACAAGGCATAGCCTGGGGCCTGGGCGCTGAGAATTAACCCTAGGAGGCAGGAGGGAGGAGTGGTCATCTGTGCCCAGGAGGACCCCAGGGCCCACAGGTAGGGGCAGCTCTGAGGAGCCTGAGCAGCCCCGGGAGCTTCCCACCCCCCAGGCTCTTTCCTGTGTCCCCTGCCTGCCTGTGACTGCTCTGTGTCTGGGGCACTGTGAGAGCTGGGCCAGATGACACTGCGGGAAAATTCCCAGCCCCATCAAGTACGGGGCCCTGAGGCTCTGCCCACAGTGCTTGGGAGCCCTGCGTCTCCCCTGTGCCAGCCTGTGTCCATGGGGGTGTCACACTGGATGTGGGCTGGGAGCCAAGCCCCCCTCCCCCCCCCGCATCTTCCTGGAAGCCTGAATAGCTCAGCCACCCACACCCCGGCATTTCCTAACCCTGGGAAGCCCTCACCAGGCCCTTTTGGTCCCACCCTCTGGTCTTCCCCAGGCCCTCCTCATTCCCCTCCAGCCACTGTCCCTCTGAGGCCACCTCTGTCCCTTGCTCCCCTGGGCCTGGGACTTCCCCGGCTGGGCCTCCGATCAGCTTTGGCAAAATCTGTTCCATCTATGATCAGAGGAGAGGCCACAGGAATGCTGTGGGCTGGCCCAGGGCCTCAGGCTCCCTGCTGAGGGTTTACCCTCAGAAGGGTCCAGGGGCCCCACAAAGCAGGCAGGACAGGAGGGAGGGCCTTCTGCACCCCAGCTTCCGCTGTACTCTGGGGGGTCACTAGGCAGTGTGCCCCAGGCTCGCAACTGCAGCCTCAGCCACAGAATGGCTTTCACACACAGACGCGCACACACACACACACACACACACACACACACACACACGAATGAGCCTGTGAATGCGTGCCCGTAGGGACCCACACACATCCCCTCCTAGGGTCTGCACAGTCCCCAACACAGATGTGCCTCACTACACACACACACACACACACACACACACACACACACACACGTCCAGGCTCACGCTTGCACACCTTCTCCTTGGGTAGGGGGAGGAGACAGATGCAGGCCTTTTTTTTTTTTTGCCTTTGGAGAAGTGGGAGAGGGCAAGACTGGCCGGGAAGGCCAGGCACAAAGCTGGGACAGGAAGAGGAAATGGAAGCTGGGGAGAGAAGTCAGAGGAGAAGGAGGCCAGGCCAGGAGCAGGGGCCAGAGCCCAAGCTGGTGCGGCACTGGGCAGGGGTGAGCCCCAGCTGGCAGGAAGGAGGAGGTCCGACAGCCAGACAGCCATCCCCTCCTCAGAAGGAGCAGGAGGCTCTGGGACCTCCCACGCACCCATGTGGGGAGCCCCTTCCCTGGCCTGGCCTGGCCCAGCTACCTCCAGTCCTGGCCACTCACCTGGGGAGGGCAGGAAGCCGAGGGTACGTGTGGGGGCTGCCAGTCCTGCGCAGGCTGAGTGCTCTCCGTGCCTCTGCAGGAAGGAGGGCTGGGCAGCTGACTTAGACAGCTGGGGAATTCCGGGCCACGGAAGAGGCAGCCCCTCGAGGCCCCGCTGAGGCCCTGTCCCGCCCTGAGCCAGGCCCCAGGCCATCACAAGCTGTGAATTCCAGGGAGGGGAGGTGGTGCTGGGACCCAGCTGGAGGACAGGAGGGCAGGGTGAGTTGACTTGTGTTCTTCTGGGAACCTTGGTTTCCTGCTTTGTCTGAGGAGAGGATTGTAGTGCTCAGAGCAGAGGAAATGGCCAGATGTCCAGCCATATCCTGCTGCCTCGTTCTGTCCATCTGCTTCCACCTCAGGCTCCCCTGCCCCACAAGAAGAGAGAGCCTGCTGGGGGACCTGGAGCAGCTGGAGATCCTGGGCAGGCCACCTCCTCTGAGCCTCGGCAGCCCCCTCTCTACATCAGGAGGAAGAGTCCCATTTGGCCAGGCTCTGACATCAAAATGAAATTAAACTCGGTTTGCATGCATCCTGTGTGTGCTATGCCTAGAAATCAGGTCTCCACCCTCTGTGAAGGCATGGGAAGGGGACTTTGCTTGAAGCAGGGTCTCACTATGCAGTTCAGGCTGGTCTTGAACTCACTGTGTAGCCCAGGCTAGCCTCAAACTCACGGGGATCCTCCTGCCTCAGCCTCTTGAGTGCAGGGATTACAGGTGTGTGACACCAACTGGAACGTCTTCATTCTCCCAACGACATTTACAGATCACTGGCAATAAAGGATGAACAGATCTGACCTCTGTTCTGTCCCTTCAAAGCTCAGAGACATTGGGACATCCTGCTCCATGGAGTAGCCCTCAGCCATGTGTGGCTGTCTAGATATGAACTGTCATCCGCCCCTTGGAAGCACGAGGTGCATTTCAAGTGCTCAGCAGCCATATGTGCTTCTCCTGGACAGCATCCCTCTGCAGCCTCTAGGCCACGGGAGAGGCCATTACAGTACAGTAGGTGCAGATATTTTTTGGCAGGAGAAATGCCAGGAACAACAGGAGCCAGGACAAAGCAGAGTGCCGGGGCAGGATTTGGGGCTCTGAGAAGTCCCCTGGAGGACGTGACTTCTCACTTGAAAGTAGCCAACCAAGAGCATGAGGAAGGGTTTTCTCAGCAAAGGGAACAGAATATGCAAAGAGAAGAGAGGGTACATCCAGGAAACTGAACAGTGTTCATGCAGACAGCACAGATATTTTCAGCACTGGAATTGGCAGCAATCCTTGAACTGGACCAGGTCAGAAGAATGGTACATTTCCCTACGCTGCTGTCTCCACATGTGAGACCCAGTAATCACAGACTCTCTGTGAGCTCATGGGGCCTGGTTGATCCATGCTCACTCAGGGAGGTCTTACCTGGTAGATGGAGCTGGGCATGGTGGTGCATGCTTGTAATCCCAGCACTCTGGGAGGCTGACGCAGGAAGATCCCAAGTTCAAACCCTCTCTCTCTCTTTTCCTTAAAGAGCTGGAGATGTGGTTCAGTGTGAAGGGCTTGGGTTTAGTTCCTGTCTCCCACCACCACCACCACAAATAAATAAAAATAAAAGCAGGTGGGCTTCCAGGGGCTAAGAACTTTCGAGGAGCTGGGCCAGCAGGAGCAGGATGGCCAGCTGGGAGCACTGGGCCAGTTTGTTCTGAGGGCTGGCTCCGGGCTCTCCCTGCTCCAGTGCTGAGAGCAGTTGGCACTCCACCTTCTGCCCTCCTCTTCCTGGCCCCAGCCATGGGTCCCCTGAAGTTGCCACCCCTATGCAGGCCTGAGGCATCTACCAGAGAGAAAGAAGAGGTCCTCAGAGTGGGCTTTGCAGGAGCTGAACTGAGTCCTGTGAGGCTGATAGCTGAGGGACTTTCTATCCTGACCCTAAAAGGAGGCCTCAGAGTTTGGAGGAAGGAGAATGGGGTGGTGCAGGGGTTGAGAAAGAATAACCCTAATGCCTCGTATTTAAGTTATGAACATGGTAACATGCCAGGTGTGTTAGTTACTTTTCTCTCATTGCTGAGACAAAATACCTGATGCCCAAAGTTTAAGGAGGAAAAGTTTATTTAGCTCACAGTTTGTGGAGGTTTCAGTCCATTATGTGCTGGCTCCAAGGTGGGGTGGCTCATGGCAGAGGGAAGCAGAAAACAGCAAAAGTAAGAGAAAAAGGGGAAAAAGAAAGAAAGTGAGCCTCTTTCCCTCCCTTACATTTTACACAGCTACCTGCCCCAGGTGGGTGTATCATTCATACCTATAGTCCCAGCTTGGACTCTGAATCAGTCACAAACCTAGAAGCTGCCCCCATGACTACATGAGGCTTTAGAAGGGCATCTAGACACGAATCGTAACACCGGGCTTGTGCATTCTTCCTTAGAACCCTATGAGGCCAGAACTAATCCCTTACAGAGAGGAAACTGAGGTTTCTAATGGGTTAGGATCAATGATAGCAAGTGGCTCTGAGTTCAGACTCTGGCCCACTGACTTTTGGCCTCTGTGTCGGTGGTCCACCTGTGGATTCAACCACCTGCAGGTCGGGAATCTTCAGAAGAAAAGGTTGTACCTATTCTGAACGTGTACAGATTTTTTCTATCAGTCCTAAACAATACAGTATGGCAGCTATTTACACGGCATCTGGATTACACCAGGTATAAGTCACGATACCTGGTGTAAGTATAAGTACTTAAGGGTACAGGAGGGCACGTGCAGGTTTGTGCAAGTCCTGTACCACTTTAGAGAGGCACGTGAGCATTCCTGGAATTTAGTTTCTGAGGGGTCCTGGAACCAGTCCCCTTCAGATACCCAAGGGCAACTGTGATGTTTCCCGGGAGCCCTGGAGATGGGACTCAGATGGCAGGTGAAGGACTGATCAGAAATGGAAGTGTGTATTTAAATAAATGTTTACTTTTTTTTTTTTTTTTCCTTTTTATCGGTACCAGGGATCGAACTCACGACTGCCTGCTTGCAAGGCAGGTGCTTATGGTGCTGAGCTAAATCCCCAGCCCCAACGTTTACTATAGTGAAAGACAAATTGCCGTTATGGCCTGAACAGACCCCTCTGCCCTGAACAGCAGGCTGCTCAGGAAGTTCGTTCTCGTGAGTGACTTTGTGAAGTGTGATTTAATAAAACAATGGCGAAAAAAAAAAAAAAATAAAACAATGGCGAACGCTGCTGCCAAGTGCCGTTCAGGGGAAGGCAGGCTCCTGAAAACATCACGCTGCGTCCTCATCCACTTTACTCACCGCATCGGCGGGCGCCATGAGGCTTCCGGCTCTTCCCCAAAGTCACAACGACCATGAAAGGGAAACGTTTTCAATCGATTCAGGACATCAAGAAAAACAGGACAGTGCAGCTGAAGGCACAGAAGAGGACTCCAGAACTGCGCCAGAAAGCGGCAAGAAACAGGGACGACCGTGTGTAAAAGAGAGGTGTATTTCCCAGGGAATGAACGGTAACGTGTTTTTCACTGTGTAACACGTTTTTTAGCAATTTAAATATTCACTGCATTTGTAGCAAAATATCCTTAGGAGATATCTGCAATCATTATTATTGTCATCATTATTAGTAATTTGTGTGGCAGAATTAGGGATTGAACCAAAGGCTTTGGCACTGAGCTGTATCTCCAGCCCTTTTCTTTTTTGTAAATTTTGAGACAGAGTCTCACTAAGTTCCCCAGGCTGGGCTTGAACTTGAGATCCTCTTGCCTCAGTCTCCCCGAGTTTACTAGCTCCAGGGTAGGACTCTTTTGATATTGAATTTTCAGTTCCCCCTCTTGTACCTTCTTATCTGAACTCGGAGGACAGGCAGCTAGAAGAGGAGGTCACAGGACCCCACATTTTCAAATGTTAGTGTGACCCCACGGGCGGGTGGCCCTCTGAGTTCCGCCAGTATATCGCCCATGACAGGAGCTGCCCACCTCCCACACAGCCTGTAGCAGTCCCGGTCCACAGTCGGGTATATGAAGTCAGATCCACCTCCTTCCGTGGCTGTGCATCAGCAGTGACAAACTCCTACGAGGCCCTCTCTGCCCAGCAGACTCCTGTCACATCCCTTGCCAGCTCTGCTCCCTGCTGGGAGTCCTGGCCTCTGGTGGCCGCGCTCTCCAGTCTGCAGGCCTTTCCCTCAGCCAGCCAGCGCTGCTCTGGGTTCCCGTCCTCCTCTGGGAGAATCTCCCAGCCTTCCCCACTTCTGGGGCTCCCCTCCAGGGCTGCACTCTCCAGCCTGCCTCAGTTTCCCTCTCCCAGAAAAGGTGATGTGATGACTATTGGTATAATTTGCTTAACGTCTGCCTGATTATTCTCAGCCTCGGCGATTTGGTCTCCACGGGACATCTGGCCATATCTGAAGACATTTTGGGGTGTCCCAACTAGGGAGGGGATCAACTACTGGCATTGGGTAGGTGGAGACTGGGAATGCTCCAAAAGGGTCACAGGGCAAAGTGCCAGATCTGGTGCCTAGTGCATAAAAGATGCACCATAGTGTTTCTAAGACAGGTCTCACTCTGTAACCCAGGCTGGCCTCGAATTTGCGGCGATCCTCTTGCCTCAGCCTCCTGAGTGCTGGGATTACAGGCGTGTGCCACCAGGCTGGGCTGAACATAGCGTTTTATGGACCTGGTCTCCAATGGATGGTGCCAGCCAATCTGTCAGCAGGGAGAACTGCTGGAGTATAGGTGCCAGGTGACCCTGGGCTATTTTTCCCCCCTTCTTCCTCACTCCCGCTCCTCTCCTCCCACTGCCCCTCTTCTTCCTCCTCCTCCTTTCCTCTTCCTCCTCCTTCTGGGAGGTGTTGGGGATGGAACTAGAGCCCCACATATGTGAGGTAAGTGCTCTACCACTCAGGCCACTTCAGTCACATCTCCAGCCCTGTGGCTTCTTGATCTTTACTTCCTTCCAGTGCCTGATGGATGGCAGGTAACTGAGCGCCTGTGGGAGTGAATCAGAGGAGGGACTCTGGGACCCCAGCAATGTGGCCATCGTTAGCTGCATTCCTGGTGCTGGGATGAGGTGGGGCTGGGGACGAACGGTGCACAGGGAGAGATGAGCTGGGGTGCAGAGGATACAGGCTGAACTTGCAGCTCCAACCCTGGGCCGGAGAGTTTCCCCGCTGTCCTGTGAGCCGCAGGGGCTGCAGCTGTTAGGTTCCTGCCAGGGAACTGTTTTTTAAGGGCCCAAAATGACCTGATTTGAGCAAAGTGGAAAGTGTGTCCTAAGAAAGGGGTTGCCCGATGCATGACTACTCACGGCTTGGATCCACAAATGTCCCTCCCTGCTTTGTTGCTATGCAGTGGCTAACAGTTTTCTGAACAGCTGGAAGCAGGTTTTTTTCAGCTTGTGACTGTATATGAGAAAAATGAAATCACATCACGTCTACAGACATCTGCCCGCGACCAGGCCCGCTGCTGTCTCTGACTCAGCCCTGCGACCTCTGCAGTGACTTCCCCTCACCCTTCCGCCTGTGGGAGTCGGCTCCCTGCCTCCTGGGACCCCCAGAGACTGCAGCAGGAAAGGGGACCTGCTGTGCTATTCCAGAAGGCTATTTCGGCCAGGTGATTCGGCTTTAGGGTTATCTGGCCTGTTTGGTCCTGGGTGGGTCCTTACATCATGGATTCTCAACAAGCTGCACATTTGAATGACCCGAGGCATTTGCAAGCATAGGGATGCCCAGGTCCTGGCCCCAATTGATTGGATCAGAACTGTAGGGGGCCAGTGAGACCTGGGAATGTGTATTTATGGAACTTCCCAGGTGACTCGAATGGGTGAATGGTGGTTATTGCCCTGGAAGCTGTCCTTTTAATGGTTGGCTTCTTTTTAAAATTTATTTTTTAATGCTTGGTTCTGATGCAGGTGGCCCAAGGACTTTGCTGTCTTTGGGTCACCTTGGTTCTCCAATCTATTTTCCTTTATTTCCCAAGAAGGCACCTTCTCAGGACAGATCAGAGACCAAAGTCCTAGATTCTGAAAAGAACAGCACCCTGTCCCTCTTTTTCTGGGTCACAGAACGTAGGTCATGGTCGTAGAGTGGAAGAAAAGATTAAAACTCAAAGTTACTGAAAGGAAGTAGGATATGTGAAATTCTGTCAGTATCTGAAGAGATGGGATTCGGGGGTGCGTTTTGCAAAATCGTGCTCTCCAAGGAGGCAGACACTGAGGGCTGTGACGCAAGATTCCCGTCAGAGGAGGAGAAGGACCCAAGGACGAATGTTGAAAGACTGGTGCCGAAGGAAGTGGCTTCTTAGTCTGTGGGATCTGGAGCAAAGCTTCGAGATTCACTGATCTCGCTGGACAGTGGAGAGATAAAGGTGCAGAGCGGGGGGAGGCAAGGGCCTGCGGCTGGGCAGGGCGTCAAGATGACCCAGCATTACAGCCCTGGCTTCCTGACACCTGCTTCCTGCCACCCTTCCCTCTACTGCTCAAGGACACATCACCAGGCCGCTGCCAGCCCTGTCCCTATCCAGTCTGTGCGCCCCCACCTTTGGCACAATGCCCACAGCCAAAAGACGAGACTGTCTGTGAGTCTGGATCACACCTGCCAGGCGACAGGGCTGCAGCCCGCGGGCGGCTGTGGGGAGCAGAGAGGAAGCGCAGTCTGATGATGTGTCCTGACCTCAGGGAGGGGGACTTTCCCAGGGTGAGGGCTCAGGCATATGCAAAGGCTGCACTCCAACCTCACCCCAACAGGAGCTGGGGAACGCACACGGTGTGTGTGTGTGTGTGTGTGTGAGATGGGGCCCAAACATGCCAGGCTCCTCCTCTGCTTCACCTCATTTTGCCCCTAAAACACTTTCTGATTAGAAAATTGGAAACCTTAGGCCCAGGGAGGAGGCGCATAGCCTGACAGAGGCCGGACGTCCCAACCCCAGGGGAGACCGTTCTCAGAAGTGACCATGAGGGGAGGAATTGCTGCTTCTGTTGCTGCCTCTGCTGGGCCGGCTGGGGAGTCTAGCAGTTTCAGTTTAAGTTTCCGTCTCACTCACCAGGGGAATTTTATCCTGGGAACAGGGCAGGTAGTGACCCTGACTCACCTTGGGCAAATCCCAGGGCTCTGGCTTTTCAAGGCTCCTTGGCGGTAGGCATAGTTGGGAGAGGCTGGCACTGCTACCCTCGACACACACACCCCGGCTGCCCAGCAGGAGATGGGACCGGCCTGGGGTGGCCTCCTGGAAGGGGAATCTGTGGTGCCTCCTGCCTCCCTCAGGGCTGCTTCTTTCCAAGCCTGACCCCAGGCACCATGCAGCTCTCCGGAGAGCCAGTCTTACCTCTCCCAGCCAGGCATCAAGAAAGTGGGTGCAAGTCAGGGCTGGAAGCCCAGAGCCGGCCCTTCCTGTCACAGATGGGGCCTGCATGTTTCTCCGGTCACTGAGCTCACACACAAGCATGCTGGCCGGTGCCTAGAGCTGCCTATGGCACACTCAGATGTGTGCTGAGGACAGTGTGAGTGTGTGGAGAGCACGGCTGGACACCCAGGAGGGCCCCCGCGTGGTCAGGTCTCCACATACTGCCTACTACAGACACCGACGCAGCGTTGGTACTTCTGGGTTACTGATGGGCCCACAGCTGTACTGTTCTGTGTGGTCAGCAGCATGAGTTACTCCGTGTGTGCTCCCAGCAGAGTCTGGGCCTGGGTGTCACTACAGGGCCCGAAGGCATCAAGTGGGAACACCAGTTTCCCTGCCTCCCTGCTTTTCTCAGATCCTCCCTAGGCCAGGCCCAGAGTTCTCAAATAGGGGACCCAGGGAGGGGGTTCCGGCTCAGCTGGCAGCACGGCAGCAGATGGCGGTAACCGAGGGGGAGGGGTGGGACCGTGCACAGAAAGAAATACATGTGCTAGAAGCTTTTAGAACAGCTGGGCCTATGAGAAGGGCCCATTCCCAGAGAGTGGTGGCTGAGGGCTTGCAGTCCTTACCCAGCTGCCTTCAGAAACTGCCCCTGCTCCTGGGTACCCAGGTAACATACCTGGCTTGCGTCTGCCGCCCCCTCGGTTCTCCCTTGCCTTCTCCCTCCTCAGCATCTTTTTCTCTGCCCGTGCCCCCCTAGACCCGGCTGGCATCCTCAGGCCTCCATGCCAGCCGCTGGGCTTTCCTGCCCCTCTTCCATCCACCCCCACAGCTCTCTTCTCTGCAGGGTGCCTATCATGCCACGTCCCATCCCTGGAATATTTGGGGGCTACTAGGACCTGGAGGATTAAGTCCATGGTCCTTTTCCTGGACCCTCCTCTGCAGCCTCCACACTCAGTTCCCTGGTCTTGGTGCCGTTAGTGGCACTTGCTGAATAATCTGCTTTCCCTGCAAAACTCTGGGAGGGTGACGGGGACACTGCAGCCAGGGAGACTGCTGGTGGCCCCTCCACGGCTGTCACTTTCCTGTAAAGCGGAATGTGCCCACTGTGAACCCTCAGGAGCTGATGTCTGCTGGGCCCAACACAGTATACTAGAGCTGTGCAGGCCGTGTCTGGCTTAGTCCTCAGGACAGGATCAGACAGGACCAGGGCCTGATGGGATTCCAGCTCCTCGGGTGGCCCTGATGCTGATGCCCTGAGGAGCAGAGGCTATCATGTCCAAATTCCACACTTGCCTCACTCTGACTGCAGAATGAGGAAGTCTCCTTCAGGAAATGCGGGTTCTGGCAGGGAACAGTGCCACGCCGATTTACCACTCTGGGTTCTGAAATTTGGGTTGGGCAACTGGCCACTTCTGCCTTCCACCGCCAGCTCTGTGACTCTGGCCATCACGAGGAGCAGAGAGAAGAATCAGCAGAGACAGCAGAGAGACACCCGGGAGCCCAGAGTCCACAGCTGGTCACTGTCCTGCTCTGTGGCCCTGTCACCAACATGCCACACAAGAGTGTTGGTTGGTATGGTGGCTCCAGTCACTTGGTCCCTGCCTGCTCACCCCCTCAGCCCTAGAATATTTGGGAGCCCATGTCCTCAGCTGTAAAGGAAGCACTGTGAGGGCCGGAGGGGAAAGCTTTTCCTCTGACCTCAGCCAAGCCCAGGGACAGTGACCGTGGGGAGTCCCAGTTCAGCCACTCTGCAGGGGCACTCGGGAGAAGAGATTCTCCACTCAGGTCAAAGGGCAGCCAATTTGCCCCAGCCCCAAAGCTCAAGCTTGTCTCTGCCCATCCATAGGCCCTGAACCGTGCACTCCTGGAGGGGCAGGAGGGGGCAGTGGGAAGCTGGGGAGGTGACCCCAGCTTGTGTTCACATCACAGGGTGACCCTGTGAGGGGACAAAATACAGGGTGCTTATAAAAACCCTGGAGCCAGGCCACAACCACAGCCGTCCAGCTCTACATGCTGGGAAGTCACCGTGACCCTAGGCCATGGGCTGGCTGCCTGCAGAGGTGACCAGGACTGCGAGCAGTTGGGAATTACTGCCTCCTCTGCACTGTGACCTCAGCTCCTGGGCTCCTGCTCTGAAACAGCAGTGGTTTGGGCTTCTGTTTTCTCTTTCCTTTCAGATTAATTTAGTCCCTGCCACTTTCCTGGTTGAACCCTGGCCACAGAAGCAACCCCTGAGTTGGCAGGGAGAGCTGTTGGGTGGAAACCCTGTGGCAGCGCCTTCATGAGGCGGCACGGGAAGACCTTCAGGAAGGGCGAGGTCATGGACCAAGTGCCTCGGAGTGAGAACCACCGCGGCTCCCACCAGGGCTGCAGTTCTGAGGCACCTGGATGCCTGCCTGCGGCCAGGTGGGCTGTTACATCGCCTCCCTCTGGAGCCCTGCTGCTCCTCTGCCGTGGGCTACACAAATTCCCTTCAGGAAACCCCTTCCCAGGGTGGCTTCAGACAGGCTTTTGGAAAGTTTCCTGACTACCTCAAGCCTCCGAAGGCTCCCTTGGGCTGGGAGGGAAAATCCTGAGGTTCAAGGTCTGAGGCTGGATCCATACTCCCACTGCCAAGGTCACTGGATTGATGTCACCCTTCAAATCCTCCTAGATCCCCTCCTGTGAGTGACACTCCTGGTCCCCCCCCCCCCCGCAGCCACCTGAACTGCAAATGAAGTGAAAAACCCACTCAATTTCAAGGGCTTCATTTCCTGTGCCCAGGTCACTTCTCCCTGCTCCCCTCTGCCCTTGGATACCATTCCCCACCCATCTGCCTGAGCACTGCTCCTCCTGCCTGGCCTTGGGGCACAGGTGGCCTGACCACCTTGAAATTCTCTTAGCTCCAACAGCTGAGCTGCGTGCAAGGCAGGGGTAACAACATCAGACTCCAAGCCACACAGTTGAAGCCCCACACTGTGAGGTGCTAGGTTAGGGCCAATTAGGAGCCCATTTTACAGATCAGGCAGAGGCAGCTCAAGGAAGATTACAGTCTCAAAGCACTGAAGAGCCCACTCCAAAGCCCTTGACCATCTTATTACCTTGCCACTCGGTAACAACTAAATTAAATGCACAAATATGCTGAGAAGCCCTCTGCTGACCCTCAAGGAACTTGGGCTCACTGCCAAGAGGAGGAAAGGAAGGAAGTGGAGAAGCCACAAATGACTTTTCTCAGGGCCACTGTGTCAAAGATGAAGAGAGTTTTTCCAAATTGTTGGGTCCTACAGTGTACAAATGGGGAAACTGAGGCCCAGGGGCGGCCACGAATGGCTGAGCCAAGGTCATGCAGAGTGGGAGGGCCAAGACCAGCCCCCATAGGTCTCTCACTTGGCCCTGCTGGCTGCACGGGCAGTTTCTGAGCCAGTGGGTGACTCCTGCCACAGTCACTGGACAATCTTGGGTCTGGTCCCAGACCCGGAGTGGGGCTGAGGGAAGGGAGCTGGCATGTGAGGACCTTCAGGAAGTGGACTCTCCACTGGCCAAGCCAGGTGTTGTCACTCCAGTGTCCTGCAGAGGTCACCAGGGATGAGTGTGGCTGACCACAATGGGAGAGGAGCAGAGGGGACCCGAGACCCCGGCTGGAGCGGGGCAGCCCCCAGGCTCGGGACTTGTTCCCGGAAGGTCCTAGCAGCCTGGCAGGAGGGGGAAGAGGCCGGCTGCAGGCTCCACAAGAACAGGTCCTCCCTGGAACCTGCTTGTGTCTCTTTCTGTTCTATTGTGCAGAGAATGGAAGGCCCCAAGGGAAAGTGTCAGAGGCTCCCGCCAGCTTGTCAGTGTTAAAAGAGAAGCCGAGATTTCTTTTTGTCCAATTCTCTGATTTTGTGGTTAAGGACACAAAGACTGGGGGGACAGGAACCGGTCCAAGGTCAGAACATGATGGGGGGCTGCCGAGCACACCCCATGTTCAGAGCATACACATCACGCGTTTCACGGAAAAGGCTCCATATGCTTAGGGGGTCTGACGAGGTCCAGGGCGGAGCAGGGGTGGTGGTGAGGGACAGAAGCCGGAGGTGCGAGGAGGAGGCGGGAGGGGCCGGGACGGGATGGGTGAGGGCCATAGCTCCTGAGCAGGGGCAGCGGGGCTGCACGCACGGTGGCTGAGGACAAGAGCCACCCCTGCTTCATCCTTCTTCTCTGGAGCTGGAACTACAGCTCAGTCACATGCTGCCACCGTGGCCCTAGTCCTGGCCGCCGCAGAGGGCCAGCAAGGCCTTCCTGAAGTCTCCGGAGGTGTCGTCCTGGCAGGCAGAGGGAGAACAG